TCTCTCTAGGGGAGGGCAATGACACATGCTTTTTGGTCACTTTGTCTTAAGGCATTAGTGAAGTGTTTGAAAGTCGAATGAGCCTGAAGAATTAGGGAACAAACAGAAAAGTTTCCAAGTGACATTGTGTAATTTGAAACCTAGAAGCCCTAGTTCTGGAGAGGATCAGAGTGAATGTCTGAAAGCAGGACAGAGGTGGTATTTTGGGCAGCAGACTAGGACACAGGAGAAAGAAGCTAATTTCTAACCTCTCTGACCAACCTCTCTGACCTCCCTCTCTATTTCTGGACAGTTTGTTTAAAAGTATTTCAGTGCCTGCATTGTATTGACATCAGTGAAGATCTTGGTGCTTAAATAAGACAACTACCTGCTTTTAGTCTGATCTGTGGTCTATCTGGACCCAGCTTCCTTCCCTCCACTTGTTGTCTGGGCAGTTAGAGGTGAGCTGTACAAAGCCAGGACTGGTGGTTGTTCTGTAGCTGTACAGTGGCTAAAGGCCGAATTATAATAGGTGCTATTGTAATGTAAACCTGGATCCTGCCAGTTGACCTGGCATATACTTGCCAGTAAATGTTGCTGGTCTAGACTGGGGTGAAGAGTGGGGAGAAGAATTGGGTGCACCTGTTACAGAAAGAGATCAAATTAGCTCAATGTGAGATTATGGTTGCTGGTCACCGAACAGATCACTGACAAAAATTGTGGTGATTTTTCCCCAGCTGCTTGCCAAGCTATTTTTTAACTTTTCAGTGTTTACTTCAAAAGAACAGGCTTTGTTTTCATAAGAAGAAAGCCTCACAGCCCCTTATTTCCTCCTTTTACTATGTATTTGCTTGTAGCGGAAAAAGCATCAGCAAAGGAAACTATTCTGGATTGGTTGATTACACAAAGTCCTCTAGCAGAGACCAGGGAGTTCAGGGTGGAACATGGCACTGTGTCTGAAATAAACTTTGCTGTTTCAAAGACTGAAAAGCTGTTTTACGTGGGAGGCCAAATGCAGCGGCTTAATATGGAACATGAAGTAGTAAGGAGCAGGCTGTCAGTTTGAGCAAACCTGTGACAAGCTCTGGCAAATCTGCTGGAGCTCGTTTATGAAAAGCTCTCTCTGAAATCACAAGGCGATAGATAAAGTAGGCTGAAGATGAGACACTGTAAGTATCAAACTCCTCGGTGAAAGTCATATAACATCTGAACCAATAGGCAAGCCAGGCTTTTTTCCTTTGAGTGTCATCTTTGTTTTGCTGTGTTCTTACAGGATGGAAAAAATTATGTTAAGGTTTTATTAACTCATTGAAGATTTCTGTTTTCACTTGCACAGATGAAATCATGCAGCAGGAGATACGGCCACTGGTTGCGGTGGATATAATAGAGCAGCTCCACAGGCAATTTGCTATCTTGTCAGGTAAGAAGTTGCTGGTAATTACACTGCAGGATTCTCTTGGAAATGTATTGGAATTTGTCATGCTGACTGTCACCCTTCAGCTGTGTACAGCAGTTGCAATAGTATTTTTATATTGCTAATGAAAATTGCTGTCACAATCAGACATTCACAGTGTACGGAACTGATAAATGTCAACTTGCTGTGCTTGTTTTTCTTAAGGCAAGTTAATTTTCCGTGTTCTCCACAATGGAACAGATTTAGAGGGTAAGAAATTAAACAAATCTTTCTGTACATGTCTTTGCACAATGTCCAAGCACCTTGTTTGTGGGAAAAGATTTTGGTCTACCAGGGAGCTATTCGTGACCTTCCCCTTCTTCCTCATTTGCCTTTGTTTTAGAAATGATTCATTGCTAAAGTGTAAGGTTCTAATCTTTTAAAGATTTGATTATTACATATTCCTTTGTTTGCCTGAAGTTTGCAATCACACAAAGTGACGCAGTTCCTGCCCCAAATACATAGCTGATATTAAAATATTTGCCAAATTATTTAATACACTTATTTCGGATACTGTAGCAGAGAAATCCTTATCTGGGCCCTAAAATGGCCTCTGCTGTTGACTGTATGGCCTCTGGCAACTCCTTTTGTCTCTGGCTCTGCCTGTTCTGCAAATAAGGGAATTAAGAATTTGCTTTCCTTCTTCCTCATAGACACACAGTGAAGTATCATGAATTTGCACAAAATACTGAGATGGTCATAATAAGGTTCTCTTGGACAGCCTGTCCCTCTCTGCTTGGTGGAGAGGAACACTGGGTACACAGTGCAGAGAGTACACAGACCCAGCTCCGCAAATAATCAACTCAGCAGGCCTAATCCTTGCTGCATCTTCACATTTTTAAGTACACTCCAAACTGCCAAATGAAATCCAAATTTTAAGTTGCTCAGAATTCTTTATGGGGCTCTGAGTATTAAAACTTGATTTGGGAAGTTTCTAGGTAGCGTCTTGTGGCAGTTTCATAAGCTTGATAACTAACTGTTTTGCATTCGGCAGAGGGTATTGACTGAGCAGAGGTGGAACCAGCTGCCTTCTCATCTGCAGTAAAGCATCTCAGGGTCACATCTTTCTAGAATTCCAAATAAACAAACCTCCATGCAAAACAGTGTTAGCAACTGCATAAAATTGCTCAGACCTTTTGCATCCCACTGTTTTCCTCAGTGCAGGGTGACTAGGAAGTGCGAGTGCAGCATCTATCCTAAGACAATTTTTGTGGGGTAATGTTGCAGTATTCTTCTTTGGCTGTCCAGGCATTTGCTTGCATACCGTGTGCTTACTATAGCTCTGCCATGCCAAACTGGAGAGGATGGTGAGTAACCATGGCTCCACACCTGACTGCCAGAGATTTCAATGCACAGATGCCACAAGGTCTCAGAAGCATTAGGTGGTCGGGGAAAGCTGGGCACCCCTTTCCCTTAAGGTGCTAGCTGCTTAACAGAAAAAATAATGACTGATGGGAGTTGACACCCACCTGGGAGCTGTTGTCAAGTTTGAAACCAATCCTCACTTAAAGAGCTGTTTCAGGAATGCTACTCAGATCCCTTTTATTAGTGCTAAACTGACTTTAAAATATTCTAAATACAAGGAAGGGAACAGGGAATCTAATCAATGTTCAACTCCTTTTGGGTTTTGATGTTAACTTCAGTCTGCTCTTTGTAAGCAAGAAAACACTTATCAGCTGGTCTCTTTAGAATGCTCTGCTTGCTTTTTCCATTCGCCAGGCATGCAGAGCTGCTGAAACCAATATTGTTTTCAAGGTCTTTGATTTAACTGATACACAAATGCCTGAAAACACTTATATCAGTGTAAAGAACATCATGCATGTTGAGAATTCAGTGCCTCATTTGCAATGTCTATCCGGTAAAATGTGGAGGACTGCTTTTCTTAAACCCCCTTACCTTGCAAGATTTGAGACCATTAATAAAAGCTATACATGACATGTAATGAGCAACTTGTGGAAAGTGGTTTACTAAACAGGAAGAAAAACCCATTTCCAGTTCCAGCTAGAACATTAAACATGGCACAGAAATGTCAAGAGTAAATATAAGAAAGCATTTTCATATTTCTTTATGGACTCATCATTTCAGCAGTGCCTGTATTCTCACCTGCTATTTTAGCAAATTCATCTCTTCACATTTAATCTAATTCTTTTATTCTTGGAAGTTATGAGAAAGATGTTTAAATAAAACTATTTAAACCTAGGGTGCTTAAAGACTTTGGAAATAACTCTTCATAGAAGACAGGGCTGAGGGGCTTGTTTGTTAGGGATCGGCAAATAACTGGTTCATCAGCATACAAGTACTAATAACAAATATCAAAAGTGAGTGAAAAGGTGTCTTTCATGCCCCCATCTACATAAATAACAAATCCCATTTGAAGAATTCTCAAGCTTATCTAAAATCTTCTTGGTACAGTCCAGAAATAATATCCTAATAAGAAACAGGGCAGTATAGTTCATAGTTTCTAAGTTGATTTCAGTCTGAAGTTTACAGCTAAATTTGGAAACCTTGGGTTCCTCCTCTCCAAAATCCTCATGGCAGCCTGTGAAAAAGATCATGAACATAAAATCATCTACTCAGAGGTCCCTTTAGCCCAGTATCTTATTCTGTTGGTGACCACTGGTGGGTCATAGGTGAAATGTAAGAACAGGAGTCTTCCTTACTGTCCCTTTATTGCCTTCTGCAAACTGAGGTTTAGGTACAAGCCAGAAATGACTATACTTTTCAAAAATGTATTTCTCTAAATAAGTATAACTTTCTTTTTCCTCTAGCAAAAGATTGGTTTTTTCATCCAATGAAAACAGATCTGGGCACTCTCCTGCCTCATTTCACTTATAAAGTAATTCACACATAAATGACCTCATTTGATTTTGATTATTTTTTTTTTTCCCAGGCAGCTCTGCAGCTTTTCCTTAAAGCATGCTGCTTTTCATTAGGCACAAGCAACCACAAATATTTTGGTGCTTCAGTGCTTGCCTACATGGAGACTGAAAATCTCCTGATACTTAGCCTATTTCCTGGTTTTCCATGCTGATACGTTCCAGCTCAGTAGCAACTGTCTGAAAAAAAACCCTCTGCTCTTTGGCCCCATCATCGTGGGCCATAAAAGACATTTCCAACTTACTTGTAGAGTGGTTTGGGCATATAATATGTTTTTCTGAACAACTTCATAAAAATGGTATATACCGATTTATACTACTTGGGGTTATTTCTTTCACTCTGTAGGCTGCAGCCTCCAGAGGGCAGCTAGCCACCTCTTCCATGTATGCACATGCAGAGCTCAGAGCATGTTAGCAGTGAGCCTGGTTTGTGCTACTCCACAGCCTCTAGCTTTGTCAAGCTCTCCTGTTCAGTCCTGTGGACCCCAAATCCATTTGTCCAGTGATAATGAAAGTAACTGGTTGACTGTTGCAGAGTTTGTTATAAATTAATATTTATTTGGTTAGTATCAGCTTTTTATTAACAGCTGGCGGCTGAGGCGGATGTAATGAAACCATAATATTCCCTTGCAGTAAAGCAGAAAAGAAAGACGATTGAAGTCAAAGGCTCTTTGTTTTCTTTGGACATGACTCATTAGAAACACTTTCAACTACTATTGCTGTGTACAAACTTCTTAGAAGAGGACCTGACTGTCTTGCAGTCTCTGAGCAGATGGTAGGAATTATGTAACAAGCCTAATGAGTTTGGTGTTTGATTGTATCAGGGTCTAGTTATAATGAATAAATTAGATACTAACAGCCTCCTGTTTGTCCTGGCCCTCTTAGCTACCAGACTAACCAAGACTGAACAGTCCATGCCAAGAACAGGGAAACTCTCCAAAGCCTTCCCTGGTCCACTATGGTCACGGAAAAGGCTGCAGTGTAATGTGACAATGTCCTTAATCACATAGATCTACTTTGGTCGTCTCTTTTTCCATGCCCTGATCTAGCCGGGCTTAGCTTGTGAGATCAGTACTGGTTCTTGTGGTTAAATTCAAGTTTTGAAACCACTACTGCCTCCTGCCATTCCCTGAAAACTGAACTCCCAATTATGGGACTACAGCTGTGACAACATAGGAGTGGACAGCTACGTTTGTGTGTTTCCTGTAGCTGTTAAGGGAACTAGATCACAAAGTTGGGTAGTACTAAAAACCTGGCTGTTCTAACACATCAGTTTTTACTAAAGAATGGAGAACCACTGGTAAAATACTGTTCCTGTCCTGCTGACAGACTAATAACTTGCTGTACCAATCTGATCTTGGAACTATTACTACCCCCTCCCTTTTTATCTGCAGCTTCACAACCTGTTCCTATCTGTGATTACTCTGTCAAAGAGCCCAATCTGCCATATCCAGCAATAATGGATCCTGTTACTAAGTCACGAATTTATTAGACAAACTGTCACGAAGTGTATTAGCAGAGATTAATTTTCTTTGTGTTCTGCTCCTGTTAAATCAATGGACTTCAGTGGATAGGAGACTGTATCTGAAAATGGTAACTGACTCTGAAGACAGTTTATTTAATTTCCAAAGCCTGGAGGGTATTTGGCCATCTGCTTCCTGTTTAAACTGAGCCTTTTGGAAAACCTGGCCTGACCTTGCCAAAAGGACAGTTTGGAGCTTGTGTAAAAATCTAGACCCAGAAGCATGATTTAACTTTAATGAAAAATTCAGCATTCACAACCCTTAATCAACATGGAAAACCAAAACAAGAGAGCATGGAAAAAGCAAAACCTGACCAAGGCAATGAAACTTCAGCCAAGGTATCACTGAACTCTTCAGCTGTCTGACCCAGGAGATGAAATGTATTCAGGTTTGCTATGACTAAGGGAGCACTCTGCATGTGGGCAGACCCAAGCAGTTAGCCTGCACGTGTCAGCAAAATTTGAAAGAAAACTTTCCAAAACTAACTGATGAGTTGGTGTCTGTGGCAGGTTGGGGAGGTGCGCACTGTAAACTTGCAGACAAACTTTTGGAACTTCTCCTGCCCATA